TCCCGGCCCCGGGGCAGCGGCACCAGCGCAGGCCCCGGCAGGGAGGTCGGCCCTTCATTGATGTCTGCGCTTCCTCAGAAACCCCCGCGGGGTCAAACGCCCCCCGGGCTGGGGGAGGGGCTGGGACACGTTCTGAGCGCGGGGACCCCACGGGCCTCCCCTCAGCCCCCCCGGCAGCGCGTGGGTTTCCTGCCTTTCCATACTGAGAGGTGAGGAACAACTTTGTTGACATAACGCCAGGAAAAGCTCTTCCTGCTGCGTTTTCCCTCCTGCGCCTCCTGGTGCTGCACCTGGTTGATGCCTCGAGCCCTTCCAGGAGCAGGAGCTTCACATTTAATGTCAAAGGTTATGAAATGCTCCTTTGAGACCTGGGTTAGCAGAGATCAAGGTTAGGGCTGGAGTCAAGGGCAGCACGTGTCACCCTCGGGGCAGGGCCCAGCACACAGGGCTCGCCAGAAGAAGGAGAGAAACCCACTGCCCTGCCTGCAGGACGCCCAGGAAAAGCCAAACCAACCCCCTGGCCACAACATCCTCCCCTGGAAGCAGCGTCTGCTTGCTGCAAAGTGAGCTCTGGCTCTGCAGCTGCCTCCCCAGCAAGGTGTGACCATGAGGTACAAAAAACAACACAGTTCGGGTCCTCACAACATTATTCCAATTTTTTTTAAGAAATCCCTTGGACACCTGGTCTTTCCTCTGTGGGGATGGTGCCTTCCAGCTCAGCAGCACTTGGTTTCCCTCACCCTCCTGGATCAGCTCCTCAGTTCTGTCCTCATCCTGGGAAGATGAACCTCGGGAACAATTCCTGGTCTCCTCCAGTTGAGATTTTGGGCCCAACACGGCTGTTCTAGGCACAAACCTGGAGGGCTGCAGGTCATGGTCATCCTCTCAGCTCAGCACACCTCGAGGTGGATCCCACCAGCTGAGATCCATGGAGCAACTGCCCAGGCTCCTGTCATCCCCCCGTGTCCATGTGGCTTTTCCTGTCCCATCACTTGTTCTGGACTAAAATCCACACCCCCTTACCCTGGGGCTGGGCAAGGAACTGCCTACAAATCATGGCTTTTCAAGAAGTTTGTCAGCAGATTTCACACCAAAATCTGTGTCAACTCGTTGTCCTCACTCAGGAAACAGCAGCACCATCATGTGTGAGAGGCCAGTGACAAAGAGCTGGTTGTTCTTCCTTAAAAATCTGTGGTGTCAATTGTAACAGGAAACGCCACCGGAGACCAGAGGAGTCGTGATAATCCCAGTGCCACCAGGGATCCACAGCAGGACTGAGCATGGGAGCAGATGCTCAGAGTGGAGGTCCTCCGCCCTCCAGCGGCCGTGGAAGGGCCACAGGCAAACACCGTTTCTCCAGAGAGGATCAAACAGCTGGTTCAGAGGCTCCTGCAAACGCTGCCAGACACAGAGAGCCCAGGGGACAGGACTGCAGGGGGCCTTGGTGGCCAGTGATGATCCTGGTGGGGATCCAGAGGGGGATCCCTCTCCCCTCAGCCAATAAACCCCGCAGGACTAATAACAGGAACTTACAAAACTCAGTCACTACGACAACTCACTGCCTTTGGAGGGAAGGAGAAAGGAATCCTTTTTTCTGCTGTTTGCTCCGTGGTTTTAAGCCGGGTGGGGCCTTTCCCAGCTGCAGGGGTTTGTGGGCAGAGCCCCCAGCCCGGGCTGCCCGGACACACAGCGACCAGGGAGGACAGCACAGGACACCCCACCCCGCACCCCTGGGCTCCCCATGCACACCCACACCCGGGGGGCTCTGCTGTGCCCCCCTCTCTCTCCCCGTGCCAGCTGGGAGGCTCAGTGGGATGTGCAGGAGCACATCAGCTCCTGCCGCCGGGCACGGGCACCGCGGGCACGTCGCTCCGGAAGGCCTCGAGCTCCTCGGTGGTGCTGGTGGCTTCAGGGCTGGTGGTCCCTGTGCCCTGGGACAGGGGGGGGACAGGGGGGCCCCCCTGCTGGCTGCGCCCGCTGCGGGAGCAGTCGTGGTGGCCGTGGTTGCCCAGGCGGCTGGAGGCCACCACGGCCTTCATGGCA